GCATCCACTCAAAACCATTTATGAAAGCTACTCTTCAAAAAAATTCGCGCTGAGAATTTTTTTCTGCAACGAGAAAACTATCCTTTGCAGGCTCTTCGTACACTTGCAATTCTTGCAGATGAAGCAAAAACTGATGGAAACCTCGCGATCCGCTACTTTCGATGTTGTTAGACTCATTTTGCAATTTGAACACGTTGCAGACCGCTCTACTGCGCCAATCTCCAATTTATTTCATAATGCTTCATCAGTAATTCGTCAAAAATTTCCGTCTTTTTAATCACTTATGAAGTAAGCAACTTCCGTAACCGAGAACGTGATTTGGCAGGACATGAAAGAAAAACCATATCAATCGACCAATACAGCGCATAGAACGAATTGACACACCATGTGTGTCACACGCTCCGAACGTCCTAAATTTTATCTGGAAGGCCCAAAGCACAACCAGTGATTTCACTGAATTACAACGTCCGTACTACAACTTCACTAGCTCCGCTTTGACCTTTTTCGGCAAGCCAAATGCGACCCCTATTGAGGACTTCTCAACGGATGCTTCACCATGGATCAGGATCCACAGATGATAGAGTGGAAAACTACGTGGTTTTTTCCTAGCGTGAGCGGTTCCCCTTGGACGTATCCAAATTGCGGATTTCTTTTCAAAAAAGCAGGGAACGAATACCTCCATTCTCGTTTTTCCTAGATCCGTTGCCATTTGAAGAAGTGACGCCACTATATCTAAAAACTGGCACAACAGTCAAAGATTAATATATATGTACATCTCATATATTTGTTAAGCCAATCCAGCAATGAGGAGTTCTTTAAAGGGTTTAGGAATTCCTATGTTTCATCAGCGGTTTCACATACCTTTCTTTCCAAACAGAACACTTTTGTCTTTTTCAACCATCACCGAGTTTTTATGATAGAAATCAGCCATCCGATCGAAATCCCCTGCATTGAATGTTTTGACATATTCTTGTAGGCATGGCTCGAGGACATGACGTGCTTCTGAAGAAGACATTTTCAAAAATTTTGGCAAAAATTAGCCTTAAAAAGTGAACTCACGGTCATTTGCCATCTTTAGCTCGATTGCTGTGACGGGCGGATGGGATGTCTGGTGACAGCTGATGGGTGCATGAAACAGTTGCTACATAGACTGGAGATCAAGTGACATTTGGCGGCCACTCACGGAAAGCGACTCATGGTGGGTAGCATTTTCATATTAGGTTGTCCGGAAAGTTCTGCACGTTTTGTGTTACTATTTTTTGAACATTCATTGCTGATTAAAAACTCACTCTCCCTTGCGTCTCAGTAGTACATCCTGAAGAGAATTCTTTGCGCTATCTGATGGTATAACTGCCGTTTCACCATTGCTTGATGAATTCTTTTTTAGG